GGTCTCTCAGGTACCCAGGTCCAATGCCATGTAGGGCTTTATAGGTAACGACCAGCACCTTGAAGCGGGTCCAGAGTCCGGAGACTAATGGGTAGCCAGTGCAGCTCGCGGAGGATAGGTGTGACGTGGGTGTACTCTTGACAAAACAAACAAACAAACAAATAAATAAATCGCCAGTGATTTATTGAAATGTGCTTTTTATTTTTGCTCCTTGTTTGTCAGATACTAGAGCATTTAAAAAAAAATAAATCTACGGAGATATTCAATCACCCATGTCCTGGTTGTGCCAAAGGTGTTTTTTTTTTTCCAAAAAGCAACTGGATTTTCTGGGTTTGTTTTTTTCTTTGAAAACATTTCACTAATTCAAGTTACAACTGAAGGAGCTTCTTCGATGAGAAACGAAACGGAAAAAAAAATCAAGAAATTCCAGTTGTCTTTTTGCGGGTGGGAGGGAAGCACCTTTGGGGTTGAAAAAAACAGAGGGATTAACTTTTCCCCCACCTTTTGTATTGAAGAGGTAGGACTGTTTCCTCTTGGAGTGAAGGGTTAATCTAAACCACATATTATTTTTTCTAGCTTGCGTTTACACTGGCGCTTTCACCAGTGAAACCTACATCAATCATCTCCCATTATCTGTTAGAGTAAGCTAACAAAGCCCATGCGAAGCTAAATGCATGACTTCAACTACGAATGTGCGATCCATATTGCTAAGCTCTGTAATCTAACCTGTTAAGTGAAGAGGTTATTAAAGATTCTTTGTTCAATGTACAGTTTGATGTTGACAGTAACTCAATATCTTGCCTGGGGAAATTGTTCCTGTTTGCATTGCTTCTTCTTTTTTTTTTTTTTTTCTTTTTCTTTTTAAAAAGGCAGAGCTGCTAAAAATAAAACTAACCTAAAGGACAAGAGTTAGGTCACAGTTGCATTGCTGGCCTTGGCTCCGTTAATTAAATTAACGCTTGCTGTGGGTTTAAATTAAAGTGACTCTCCCAGGGACCCCAAAGTACTGCTATCTCATTGACCACTGCCAGAAAATAATGGTCTCTGCAGTAAAATAATCCATTTCAGTAGCAACTTCCAACTCCCCAGGGAGGAAAAACTAAGCTGAAGCAACATCTCTGCAACCTTGTTAGATTGTTGGACACTGTTGAGTTTCCTGCCTAAGCAGGGGGCTGGACTAGAAGACCTTCAAGGTCCCTTCCAACTCTGTTATTCTATTCTGTTCTGTTCTATTCTATTCTATTTTATTCTATTCCCTCTTCTCTTCCCTATTCTCTCCTCTCTTCTATTACTTATTCTATTCTATTTCTTATTCTATTTCCTTATTCACGCCCCCCTAGAGTCAGGAACGAGTAGCACATATGTGCAAGGGGAACCTTTACCTTTAGAGTAGCAAAAGGGGAAGAGTAAAGGAAAAAGAAAAAGCATTGGCTTCTGAGTCCTTTTGATGCAATAGAATAAAGCAATAACGTGAAACTTCCACTTTTTATATGACCATACATACTAACTAGCCATTTCTATAACGGCAAACCTATCTAATCAGCCATGAGTGAGAATCTCCATAGGCATTCGGACACTCCTTTGTTCTCCAGAAGAGTAAGTGGGGCAACAGGGAGCCTAAATCAAGTATAGAAGGATTCCCTAAGGTTTTATTTTATTGGATCTTGCAAAATTCCAAAGTTCAATTACATCCTTATCATTTTAATGCCAGCTCTTTCCTATCTCTGGTATCCACCAGGCTTAGGAGGAAGTAGATCAACCCGCTGTTTTCCCAGCACTTTGGCACCGAGATTATTCTACGGTTTAACAAACTGGACAGACTGTAATCTTTAAAAAAAATATATATTAAAAATTAGATATTTCCCCCTCATTTTGCTTGATCATTACAAATTCAGAGTTGGCCACAGCAAGATTGAAAAAAATCAGGGGAGAGCTATGACTACACAACAGAAGCCCTCAACTGTTGGAAGAAAACATCCAACTGGATTCAGTTCCAAGCAGGGAGGAAGATACGGGAAACATGGAGGCTGCTTGGAAAGATGGTTTCAATGATGGACAGGATCCCATGGCTTGAGCTCCTGAACAGAAAAGGGGGATCCCATGCTTCCAGATGTTGGGTGAAGAAGAGAAAAGAGGCGAGATGCTGAAAGTCCCTGGTTTTATGCCCTCTCTGGCCTTTGATCTCGATCTTGTATTCTGATTGGTTGTCAGATTCCCATGGGGCCACGCAGGGGCAACTCTCTAGGCTGTGTTTTGACTCCAAATTTTGTTGAGCTTCTTCCCAG